TTTTTTTTTTTTTTTTTGTTTTTTTGTTTTTTTGCACCAGGGATCGAACTCAGGACTTTGTGCTTGTGAGGCAGGCAGCAGAACCACTGAGCTAAATCCCTGGCCTACCTTCTCAATAATTATTTGTTGAATCAGTATGTGCCTGAAAAATGTTTGACTGAGTCAATCGTCATGCCCGTGAGAACTGAAACGTTAAACCCAGAGACTAATATGTCTTCTATGTCTTCTTTCAAAATTATTTCCATAATAAGATTTACATTTTCAAATGGGCTTTAAAGCGGGGGAGCTTTTCTTCTTCTTCTTTTTTATCTCCTCTAGATGATCCATTTGTTATTCTTTTTAAGGGCTCAGTGAAAAGCTAGCAGTGGCTTTCTTTATTGGTGACACGCAATTTACAGTGTCTGCCGCAGAAAAGGATATAAATTGCTTACTTGCCAGACTTTCTTCCACAAAGCCATCAGCAATGGATGAGTGAAAATTGCTGTCTATATATGCCTGATAGCAATTAATATGGTTGCTTAAATTTTTTTTCCCAATCTGATAAGTGTAAAGTGATATAGCTGAAATGTTAAATTTGAAATCCACAGATTAGAATTGGGCTGGTATAGAACTAAATCCATCTGCTTCCTTCATATAGTTGTTATATTGAAATGAGAACAATATATTGTATATTTTTATTTGGATTGAATAGGCTGCCTCTTGACCTGTTCTTTAGCACACTGCTTACCTTGTTTATCTACAAATACCAGGACTGCAGATGTTGCTGCTCTTCAAAAACAATTAGGTAATTTTGGGTTCAGAAAACATTTATCTAGTACCTCGTGTGTTAACTTTATGATCTTCATTTTTACTGTCATCAAAACCTTCTTTGTCACAAGCATCATTTATTAACATAGTTCTTTATTTTACTTCTGTGAACATTTCTACTATTTTATATTATCTATTTATATGTATTCTCTTTAGTTTCAGTTTTTTCTCAGCTAACTTTTTTTGATCACTTCAATTTTAACATTTTATCTAATTACCACTTCAAACTTTTATCTTTCCTATTTTAATTGTTAAAATATGTCTCTCAGGGATAATTCTTCTTAGCCTTATTATTGTTTCCAATTTCCTTCTTTTTAAGAAATGTACTGATGATTTTGTTCCTTTTTTTTTTTTTTGGTACCGGGGATTGAATTCGGGATCAAACTCGCGATCTTGCACTTGCAAGGTAGGCGGTGGAACCACTGAGCGAAAACCCCGGCCCAATTTTGTCCTTTTTGATCTTACAGTTTCTGATTTTTATCTTAGGCTATCCTTTTACATCTTTGATTTACAAATAGCCAGAAGGAAATCTCATTATAGAGGCAGATCCAAAGTTTCTGTTTATAAATTGGCTATAGATGAAGGTAAAAAAAACACTTATATTGAAACCTAGGATTTTAAATAGTGAAAGCGAGTAAAAAAGGATGTGATTTACTAAGTAGGAAAAACTGGGAGAGGAAAATGTAGAAAGAGAAAAGTGTTTTTTCTCTTTTCACCACATGTTAAAGAAAGAACATTTAACTTCAAAAAAGGACATGAAACCCAGATATTTTTAAATGAATGCATTTAGTTTTACAAAAAAGCATACTACATGGTCTTTTTCTTTCTAATTTTGTGGTGAATTGGCTAAAACTTCTGGCATTTGGGAGTATTTGTTGTAGGTAATGGATTTGTATATCAGAAAACTGATTCTGGTACCTGTGTAAAGAATAGATTGACAGATTGACAGACCAATTAGGATAGAGCCTATCAGTTACACAATTTGGTCAGTTACAATTTGGATAAGCAGAGGGGAAAAGATATCTACACATTTGTTTATGGGAAAGCCAGAGATTGAGGAAATTTCGCCTGATATGCTGGAGTGTTTTCAGTAACTTAAAGAAAAGCATTCGCTGAGAGTGATGTGGTTGAATATCCTTTTTTTGAAGAAAAATGATAATTTTGATAAGTTAAGAATGGCATCTAGTTGTGTTAGGTAAATTCAATCATTCTGCGTTCAGAGAAAGAGTTCTGCCTCGCCAATATATTGACTTTCCTCAGAGTGCATGGCTTTGGATAACACCCTAATCTAAAGGTTTAGTGAAAGTAACCCGATAGCAGTAATCTGTGAATGTATTAGGTACGTGTTAAATATTATCTTCATTTCTAGAACATTTCTTCATCAGGAGGAATTCATGACCTTGGTGAGGTCTTTACAAGCAAGAACGACATATTCTTTTTTTGTACAATGGTAGCCGATTGTTTCCATGAAGAGTCCACATCCTGAAGAGTAGTGCTGCCAAGCTCCCACCCTCAAGTTCTTCATCTGTTGTGGGGGCAATGATGTGAATGTCCTAGGATTCTTGAAAGTATGTAATAAAATACTGCATGTAGTAAAGGACGAGAGATTTTACATGTGTTAGCTATAGGATTCCCTATGTCCTCTTCTATTGCCCCTCAGTGCTGAAAACTTAGAGGATACTAAACACATACTGTACTGTACTTACTAAATTAATGAATGTATGTTGCGAGCACCGATTTGTGTTTTGGGATCACGGGTCAGCGCATCAATGATTGCCAATTCGGTTTCGTTTTGATCAATGCTTTTATTCTCATTAACAATATAAATATAAGCCCACACAAAGGATACAACTATAATTGCCAGTTTCTTTACAAGCAAGAACGACATATTCTTTTTTTGTACAATGGTAGCCGATTGTTTCCATGAAGAGTCCACATCCTGAAGAGTAGTGCTGCCAAGCTCCCACCCTCAAGTTCTTCATCTGTTGTGGGGGCAATGATGTGAATGTCCTAGGATTCTTGAAAGTATGTAATAAAATACTGCATGTAGTAAAGGACGAGAGATTTTACATGTGTTAGCTATAGGATTCCCTATGTCCTCTTCTATTGCCCCTCAGTGCTGAAAACTTAGAGGATACTAAACACATACTGTACTGTACTTACTAAATTAATGAATGTATGACAGGGGAGGTCCAAAGAAATTGTTATTTTTGAATTCTAAACTATTCGGTTTCGTTTTGATCAATGCTTTTACTCTCATTAACAATACAAATACAAGCCCACACAAAGGATACAACTACAATTGCCAGCGCAATCCAGAAATAATGCCAGCCCATAATATCTCTAACACAATCATAAATGCTATCATGCTATAGGTGAGGGCATACGACCTGGTAGATGTAGTCTGGTCTCAGGCTTCGCAGGGTCGAGCTGCGACTTCGATGTTTCGGCAGTCAGGATCAGGTACAGCGTGTCAGCATCTCGGACAGAGCAGGGATGCAGATCCTCTGTTCCAGGTCTGGAAGCTCCTGCGTCTCGGGCAGAGCTTCAGCAGGTCATCTTGACGGAGTCGTCAAGCGACGTCATCTGTCTGTAGTCTTCTCCTTTTATACTTTAAGTCATTTCTAATCTAATACATCCATATGCTCTATCTAAGTTAACTCCTCAACACTCGCATTACCTTACTTCAAACTCTTAATCTTATGTCACAGCAGTCATGTGTCACGGCACACGGTCGGGGGGGGGAATTCCCCACATGTCACAGCAAACTCTTATCTGTCTTAACACTCAGCATCCAGGCTGTCAGCTTCCAAGCTGTCAGCTATCAAGTCTCACTTAATTTCACTCTAGTTTTAGTTTGCTTAATTCTGCTTTTTGTGGGTCACAAAATCCTATGTTTTACATGTTCATTACAATGTATGACAGGGGAGGTCCAAAGAAATTGTTATTTTTGAATTCTAAAGACTGGGAACCCATAAGTCTGTCAAGAGCTGGGAAGTGGAATGTCAATAAAGTTTTGTTAATTAAAAATGAGTACACCCCACCAGTCACGTGGCAGGTCAGGAATCCGGAAGTCTTTTCACTCGCCCAATCGCGCGGAGAGGCCTGAGGAGCCGCAGAAGACTGGCCAATCCTGGGAAGGCCTGCTCCGTGCCGCGCCAAGTCCCGCCTCTGCACGCAGCGCTGA